CACCTCAGCCTCCCAAAGGCGCGGGATTACAGGCTGAGCCACCGAGCCCGGCTGATTTCTTTTCTCTTGAAAGCAGCTGATGAAAAATAACTTATATAGGTTGAGTGTCCTAATCCAAAAATTCAAAATAAAAAATCCAAAATGCTCCAAAAGCTAAAATTTTTTGAATGTTGATATGATGCTCAAAGGAAATGCTCAATGGAGAATTTTGTATTCAGATTTTCAGATTAGGAATGCAGAACTGGTAAATATAATACAAATATTCCAAAATTCAAAAAAATCAGAATTTCAAAACACTTCTGATCCCAAGCATTTCAGATACAGGATGCTCAACTTGTTTACATATAGAGTAACAACAATTAACTACAGATTTCTCATCAGAAACCACAGAGGCCAGATGGATGGAAATTTTTATCTTTTTTCTTTGCTTTTTTTTTGTTGGTTTTTTTTTTTTGGAGGTGGGGTCGAGTTTCACTCTGTCACCCAGGCTGGAGTGCAGTGGCATACTCACAACCACTGCAACCTTGACCTGCTGGGCTCAGGTGCTCCTTCCACTTCAGCCTTCCAAGTAACTGGTACTAGAGGCACACACCATCATGCCTGGATAATTTTTTTGATTGATTGTAGAGACGAGGTCTCACCAAGTTGCCCAGGCTGGTCTCAAACCCCTGGACTCAGGCAGTCCTCTCACCTCTTGCCTCACAAAGTGCTGGAATTACAGGCATAAGCCACCAGGTCCAGCTGGATGGAAAATTTTTAAAGGACTGAAAGAAAATTCTCAATTTGGAGTACTCTATCCATCAAAAATATCAGAAATGGAGGTGAAATAAAAATAATCTTGGCCAGGTGTGGTGCCTCACACCTATAATCCCAGCACTTAGGGAGGCCTAGGTGATAGGATTGCCTGAGCCCTGGGGTTGGAGACCAGCCTGGGCAACTTGGCAAGACCTCATCTCTACATAAATCAAAAAATTAGCTGGGCATGGTGGTGTGTGCCTATAATTCCAGCTACTTGGAAGATTGAGGCAGAAGGATCACTTGAGCCCAGCAGGTCGAGGCTACGGTGGCCATGAGCATGCCATGGAACTCCAGCCTGGGTGACAGAGTGAGACTCCAACTCAAAAAAATTAAAAAATTTAAAAAGCAAAAAGATACTCTTAGGTGAAGGAAAACTAGAAATTCACTAATAGAGCTACTTGAAATGCTAAAGATCTTCAGGCAAAAGCAGAAGAAAGTTGTAATTACAGGAATGAAGAAACAGCAACAGAAATGGAAGATGCCAGGCGTGGTGACTCATGCCTGTAATCCTAGCACTTTGGGAGGTAGAGGCAAGAGGATAGTCTGAGCCCAGGAGTTCAAGACCAGCCTGGGCAACATGGGGAAACCTCATCTCTACAATAAATCAAAAAATTAGCCAGGAGTCATGGTGTGCACCTATACTTCCTGCTGCTTGGAAGGCTGAGGCAGAAGGATCGCCTGAGTCCAGCAGGTCGAGGCTGCAGTGGCTGTGAGCACGCTACTGCACTCCAACCTGGTTGACAGAGTGAGAATTCAACTCAAAAAAAAAAAAAGTCTGAGCCGGGCTTGGTGGCTCAGCCTGTAATCCCACGCCTTTGGGAGGCTGAGGTGAGTGGATTGCCTGAGCCCGCGGGTTCGAGACCTGCCTGGGCAGCGAGACCTCATCTCTACAATAAATTAAAAAATCAGCCGGGCGTGGTAGCGCATGCCGGTAATTCCAGCTATTTGGAAGACTGAGTTGGAAGGATCGCCGGAGCCCAAGCAGGGTGGCCGGGAGCGGCCACTGCACTCCGGTCTGGGTG